ATACCCCATTCGCTATTTTTTATGGTCATTCTGTTGCGGTAGGATGCCATGCGACATTATTTTCCGGACAACCTAATACTTTCGTATAAAAACGCTTCCGTGAAAATATTAAGTTGGTCCAATTTGTTAGCGCCATTTTCACAAATTTATAACTTCTTACATTCTGAACCACTCGCTTTCCCCAAAGTTTCAACGCGTCTGAAAGAGATGATCATGCGCTTTACGAAAGCGTTTGATGTGCTTTTTAACTAGGTTCTTTCAAACAAGCAGTGATAGAAGTTCATGAACCCTGTAGCGTTGTCAAAAACGTGAACCAGGGTTCGGGCAAGAATGGCTAATAGTCATCTGTGAAGCGATTACGCCTTTGCCTCTTTGATGTATGATTTTGCCAATCGAGGTGGAACAAAGACTTCCTCTATCGAATGGCAAAATCATCTAAAAGCTCCGAAAGCATCGTAAAATTGTTTGACACACTTGGTCACAAGCAACGGACACACATAAGTCACAAATGGCGGGCTTAGTTTGAGTAACAGATTTTTCTTACAGTAACTGTCAAGAGATTTTCTTTACACATTGATCACGAGTTGCGGGCTTAGTTTAAAGTTTAACACCGGCTTTTCCTTACAGTAAGTGTCAAGAGATTTTCTCTATCTAAATCTTCAAAGCTGTTTAATGAGCGATTAAGAAAAATGACTGATACAAGACTATATTTATAAGTGTGAAAAAGGAATTGTGTCCGTGTCGGTCATACGCTTTTAAGTTCTCGCTTATGTTGTAGGGCTTGCCTTTCACAAATATTCCTGTTGAGGCCACGGGTAAACCCTCAGCAGAAGCCATTGTCCAACATAACATAATCCTATTTTGCAACCGCTTGTACAATGCTGAGAAAAGGCAAATGTTGACCTTTCCTTTTCTGGTATCTTAGTGCAACCTTTATTCAAAGACGTGCATTTATATTCTGAATTCCAGAGTTAACGATAAACTTCTTTCTTTTCACAATCCTATTGCTCTACTTCTTGGCCAGCACAGAGGCACTCACGTATGAAATTTACGATCCTTTAATGAGCAAGGCAGCTTCGCTTCATGCAGAGTCCATGTAATTACTTTGAGAGCTTGCAGATTGGAGAACAAAAGATTTGTATGTAATGCAAGAATTGTGGCTTGAGTCACCATGAAAGCGACTTCTCCTTCAACTTCTCCTCTCCTCTTTGCTAGAGTGTGAAAGAACAAGCCAGCCTGGCTTTCGAGAAAAAAGCGCTTCAATCAAATAATCTGCGCAGTTGGTACGATCACGGGGAAAATCGTGAAGTCAAAGCGGCAAAGGCGTAATCGCCTCACAGAGTACTATTTGCCAAACTCGTCCGAGCCCTGGTTCGCAGTTTTGGCAACCCTACAAATTCTATTTGTTACTATCACTGTTGTGTTTCCAAGTTAGAAAGTACCTCAAAAGCTTTTGTAAAGCGCACGATTATTTCTTTCAGACGAGTTCAAAATTTCGAAAAAGCAAATGCTTCGAAATGTAAGAAGTTACAAATTTGCAAAAATGGTGTTAACAAATTGCGCCAACCTAGTACTTTCACGGAAGCGTTTTTATACGAAGTACTTGAGAATAGCATATTATACTACGCTTGGTATGCATATCGCACTTCAAATAGTCTCTGGAACTCACAGCATTCTTTTGCGAATTGGAAAGTGGAACTAATTATTGGCATAGATTTTACCAAAGTACCCGCATCTTAAAAATATTCGGCTACTGCGATATAGAGGAAGTCATTTAGTTGAAGAATGTCAAATGCGCTTTCATAAGTGTTGAATTATTTAAGAGGTTTTTTAAATCACTTTCGCACTCAGCTAACTTCATTCAATATTGCTCACCTCCCCGGTGTACGCTGAGCGGAGCATTTGTACATCTGAACCCGTTGGTGAACTTGTGAACTCTCCTGCAAGGCGTTATTCTTTGTAATCTTTCGCTACCAACTCTGTCACGTATGACGACAGCATATTTACGTGGCAGTTTAGGATTACAAAGAATATGCTTTGCAGTAGAGTTTTTACAAGTCACCAACGCGTTCAGATGTCTGCAAACGCTATGCCGAACCTAAATCGGGGAGGCGACAATACCAGGGGCGGTAATCATATTTATATAAGAAGGGGTTTCTGTACAGGTAACAGCTCGTGCGGGCGCTGGCACTGGCGCCCGCGATACGCGAAGCCAAGCTGGTGATCGGCCTCCTTTCTATTGGCGAATATGTTCCGATCTGGCAAGTTAGGCCAAGTTGGAATCGGGGTCAGCCCAATCACGACAGATCGGTGTCCGCAGTCGAGCAGTGCCGTGCCTGACATAGCTCTTGCCAGAACGGACCACATTCTGAAGTTTGTTGAAGCACGGGATTGCGGCTCTCGCCTGTTTGGGCACTCGTTAATTGCTGGCCTTGAATAGTGGCCTTCAAATCGTTCTCCCACTTCCATTCAACTCTCCTGCAAGTCCCATCACAAGCTGTGCGTACTACTGAAACAACGAATTCCATCACTTTCTAACCCCACATAGTTTACACGACTTTCGTTTCCCAACGGCGTTTCTGATGCTTTCGCTTCCTGTTATTTTGTAAAATCTCTTGACATCGGACACGATCCAGTCTTAAAAGGCTTTCTTCTACTGGAATTATAGCATCAGTGTGCAAGGCCACCTGCTTTCTCATTTCTAAAAGGGCTGGCGAGGTACTACTTGCAAAGACTTACTGCCCTGCTCAGGGTCAATCAAGAAGTGTGGATTCGATCACTAAAAACAATCCCGCCCCCTAGTTACTGTTTCAATAAGACCCCTCGAACTATTTTCACCTAGACAGGCATAACTTGAAGGCCCATCCAAGCACGTTAATGTATCCATAAGTACTTTAATTTCACGAGTATAGGAGGCACCTTTTTCGATTTTTTGAGCGGTCCGCTCAGCCGCCTCGCTTTCTTTTGGAAAATGAGACTTATACCGTAGGATGCTCTCAGGCAATATGCAGCACTGTATGTAGCTTTTTGGTCGCAGTCGTCCCTCGGCGTGTCTGGGCTATTTGATTTTATTAGGTTTTGTAATAAGTTCTGTCTCATTTTTTCTTTTCTTTTTCACAATCTTTCGACCAAAGTTTTACAAAAATGTACCATGCCTTGAGCCTAATCTACCAAAGTCTTTTACGCAATTTCCTACATCAGGAAAACTTAAAAGGTTTTCCAATTTTGAATCTGGAAAACCAATGAGGGAAAAATTCACTTTCGACAACTACTTCAAATCGCCCCTCGTTTGGGCCAGAATGCTTACAAAACAGCTCGAAAAATTTGATGAGCGTAAGAAAAGAATATTATGACTTTTGCAGCGATTCAGGAATGCCGAAAAGTTTCGAAAAAAATTTTCTGCAAACTCAAAAAATAGTCTTCTTCCTAGGGTCTCTTCAGTGTTGACGTTGGGCATCTGAAGGCAACCCTGAGAAAGGGTAATAGACGGATAATCCAGAAAAGCCAGAATAGATGGTCTTTGGCTACAAATTCACCAAATTCATAAGCTGATGACTCAAAAATTCAATGTTCGAGGCTCACACGTTCCGGGCGAAGTATTATGTCGGTGCAAAAGTAATGCACGCTTTTTGGTCCCGGTTTCAGGACAATTTTTTTCATCAAACTTTCTTTCTTGGAAGTAAAATGACTTACAACTTGGCAGACAGAACGATTCACGAGCCAGCGACTAAAAAGGACTATCACGTGCAATGAAAGCTCAATGACATTGGGTTAATGTAGGAAGGACTGCGGGTCTCGATGAACGATTAGTAAGCAGGTTAAAATTAGAAAATCAAAATTGTCCGGTTTTTTAACACTTGATCAAAGCGCATAAGGTTTCTTCGCACATCTGCGCTCCATGTCACCTAAAATCTTCAAAATACGGCCCATAATCAGCTGCGTTGGAGATCCAACAGATCGCATGTCGTGGTTCCTCAGTAAGATCATGAGTCAGCTTTTACCAAAGGTCCCTTCACACTTATCCAATACTCATCAACTCTTAGAGCAGCTGCGCAACATGAATTGTGAACATGGTGCAGTTATGGAATCATTTGATGTAACATCTCTCTACACTAACGTTCACAACGATGACGCACTCAAGCTCTTTCGGGGTTATCGGATAAGCCACCACCACCATAAGCACCTTTGATCTAAGCCAAAGGCAGATACTGGTTCTCATTCAAGTATGTATGAATTGTAACATCTTCAAGTGGTCTGGGAGTTATTACTCTCAGATACGAGGGCTCGCTATGCAGTCCTGGCGCCTGTCCTCGCGATATGTTTCATGAGCAGAATTGAGGTACTTGAATGCTTTTGATGTACTGTCGTTACATCGATGACTGTTGTGTGATAACCTCCACTCAAGCAGAACTGGATGAGTGCCTCAACATCTTACATCAGGCTCACCCGAAACACCACGTAACGAATGGCATCCATACCTCAAAACCCAGATCAAAATGATCCTGGTTTACTACGTTTCGGGATCGGCCTTCAGTTTAGCCACAGGTCACAGCTTGCAATGACAATCAAGTTATATCATGGCAAAAACAAGCTGGTCGTTTTTGGTGCAAAAAGCAAAGAAGATACTATTTTTGTGGCCGAAAAAACACAACTTAGGTTACGCTTTTTAGTCAACGTTTCGTGAGGGTTTTTCACGTTTATGGTTTAGGGTCAAAGGAGACTTCTTAGAATTTGAAATCAAGGAGAACTTCGTTTTTTTGCATATTCGGAAAGCCACCTCGTGCCGAGCCCTGCGCCCTACACCCGTAGCGATCAACGGGAGCGGGACGAAGGGTTGCGGGATTGATAGCTGCCATGAGTCGGACCTCTCTTTTCGAAAGTTTTACAGCAAAATCGAAATTATTCTATAAATTCTTGTTCACATGCACACGTTTAGGCAGCAAATTAATCGATTTCTAGAAACATTGTGTCAAATTAGCTGAGCCGATAAACTAAATCGAATCGAAAGGTTCATGGTACATGTGAGATACGAAAAGATATAACTTTTACCCATAAAACTTGACATTGAGATTGACAACATAAAACCTATCGATTTCTTTTGTCCGCGTAGAGCAACTTGTTCAAATATTACGTAGAGGTCCATTTTGGCGTACGCTTCTCAGCAAATGCGCTCATGCCTTCTTTGCGATCGTTCTAAAAATTCGAAATTGAAGTAGTGCAACCTTGACAATATGGGAAAGACTCACTGTGGCGAAGGTAGTGTGGAAAAGCCGCCGCTCATATCGTAGGCCCTCCTTCAGTGTCGTTTCATATGCAGTGTTGACAGCCTCCTCAAAAAGAGTTTTGTCCGAAAAGGAGGCGAAACTTCCAAATCAGAGGAAACAGTAAGGATAACAATCTTACCTTCACCATTTGCACAATAAGGGGTGATTGTTCAGAAATTTTCTCTCCTAGTTTCACAGCTTCATTCACGACTTGTTCAGCTGGAAACACCTAAAAGGATACCCACACTGTGAGGTGACAAGCACTCATTCATAGAAAAATCATAACATAGAATAAAGTTATGGTATTAAGAAGACTAAAACTAGAATTATAAAAGGTGCTAAGCGAATTTCACCCAAGGTGAGCATTTGATAGCGACCGCAACTGCTTACTGCTCACCGTTGCATTAACTTCTAGATTACGGCGAATTTACCGAACATAAAACACAATGATTTGCATGGATGTCGAGGGGGTTATTGACAAGCTGGTCATAGCTATAGTACCCGCTCCGATAGTCCCCGGTAGTCTTTCGAAATGAGACATGTATTCGTGTTTAGCTACCGTCACAGACCACACAAAGCATCTTCATGCGAGACCATGTAGCTGGGAAGATGTTATATTACAATGTTTGAGTTTTCAACTGACGTATAAGCCGACGAAATATCGTCTCAAAGCAAATAGTTTCCACTTTCAAGGCTAGGGCATGAACCAGACGAAAAAGTGGAAAAAGAATAAGAGTTTCAACAACAAAAAAAGAATAGAAGCTAGGCTTACTTTTGACACTAAACCACATTCCTTCGCTTCTTGGGCACTTACTCGGTTACCCGTCAAACATACTTCCATGGCCATTGACTTTCCAGCTACTCGTGCCCATCTTTGAGTACCACCAGCCCCTGAATATATGAACAATACGAGGATATTTCTAAGGGAGTAAATAGGACTTGCCTGGAATTGTGCCAATGTTCACTTCTGGCTGTCCAAACTGTGCTTTATCCCCAGCGTAGATGATGTCACACATCATAGCTAGCTCACAACCTCCTCCCAGGGCATAACTGAAGTGATAAAGCCTTAATCTACTGTTTATTAGTTTGTTTATGTTTTGACTATTTTTTCATTATGCGGCACCATGATGCGTGAAATAAAATAAATAATAATATATACAGGACTGGAAATAGAGCAATTAAATACGATTGCTATTGCAAAGAATATTTCACACTAGCTTACCCATTCACAGCGGCAATGACCGGTTTAGAGGTTTCGCTCAAAGCTGTCCACTCTTCCAAGAATCGTCCTCGGAAAGTCTGCGCGAATTCGCGGTCCACCATTTCCTTGATGTCAGCACCAGCTGAAAAACATTCACCTACCATCATAAGTAAACAACCATACAAATTCACATTCACAAACCAGCAAAAGCTTTTTGGCTTCCAGTGAGAACGATGGCACCAACAGAATCATCATTATCAAGCTCTCGAAGTGATGTTGAAAGCTAAAAATGAGTGTTCGTGAGATGCAAATCTATCAGAGGCAAGTTTCTGTTAGTATTATGAAAAAAAAATTGACAAGTTTGCGCCAGTATCATGAATGAAAAAAAATTATGTGGTGACGCGTTTTTTGGCATGAAAGTTATCATTTCAAAGCATGCATCCGAGATGTGAAGTAAATCATTCTAACGGAAGTTTAGACAATGCCAGCTGGATATGAGCTTTCCGGACAAATGACACTGAATAACACTAGACAACACTGAATATTTGATGATCTGGCAATAATTACATTTGGAAGTTCTCTCGACAAAAATCCTTGAGATACCTACATAAGGCCTCGGACAGAGTTCACGCAATTTGTCGCGATTCAGTCGCGACAAGACAACTGATACGAGTTCATTGCATGCCAACCAGCTTGTATTTCGGTTGTGATACTTTTCCAGGTCGAAATTTTTGAATGTGAAATGAAAATGAATGGAAATCTCGGCGATTGGATCGCGACGATCAAATCGCGTGGACTCTGTCCGGGGCCTAAGGTGTTACCTACCTCAAAATGCTTCAAGTGTCTAAAATGAAAGAAATCTCGAAAAATCAAAATCACCTCGGTCATAAGTTGGCCACACAAAGCATTGAAAGCTTTTGGCCGATTTAATGTGATCAATGCGACATTCTTCTTGTCCCCAACCTTTTCCACCTTGATCATTTCAGGAGCTAAAACAGAAAAAGCATAACTTCAAGGGATTTTAGTGTAAGATTCCAAAAATCAACTTACCAGATGCAAATGAGGCTGACTGCATGGCGTTCAGAGACGAGCGAATAGCGCCGTGGCGTCCGACAAAAGAGGACAATTTTAGCATGGTTCGATCCTGAGAACGCGCCACCCGTTATCATGACGGGTCATTCGATAACAAGACGTTCACGTAGCAGCAAATGATAAGAGAGTATGAAAAACAGGCGAGAGACGAAGAATTCAGCAATGGGACATATGAAAGAGATAAAAAATAAATTTTTGCAGCGGACAATGTAATTTTTGGAGGATACAATGATGAACAGGAAACTGGGTACTAAGATTGTGCAACCGAATCCACTGCTACTCCCCCCCCCCCCCTGAATAAATGAACTCAACTATCAAACTGGCTGAAACAAATGAGTTCGTTTTGGTATGCATAACTCCGTATAGAATTTTTTTTATTGCTTTTTTGTCTGGAATTTTCCGAGGGGTAGTAGCTCAAAGCTTCTATTAACAAGTATCAGCTGCTCCGAATTTCTAGTTTCAGTAAAGGATAATGCCCCAATATGGCCAAATTTACAAAAGCTCCAGTTCTTTGACTTTTTTGTTAATGGATAAGGATGAGCAGCATGGCACGTACATATATATATATATATATATATATATATATATATATATATATATATATATATATATATATATATATATATATATATATATATATATATATATATATATATATATATATAATATATATATATATATATATATATATATATATATATATATATATATGGTTACAGACATGTTTTCTCTATCTAGCGAATAACAGTAAATTGTGATCCGCCGTTTTGAAAACATGTGATAAAAAATCGGGATTTTCCCGCGCACAATGAGGAAATTGGATTTCTCACTTTTTTGCGCCTTTCATAGATAAATAACTTCTGGTCAAACAGTATTTGAATTCGCCGCAAGTGACCGGAATTACTTGTTAGCCAAACCAGTGATTCTCCCTACTATTAGGTCATCCCAAAAGTTTTTTCGTATTCGTACCTTCAAAATGATATTTCTCTAAAACTAAGGCATCTAGAAGGGTGCAAATTTGTGGGAGTATTCTTGAGTGAATAAGCTATATAATGCGAGGAACATAGACTCATTTCAGGCAAAGTTTAAAAATTAAGCGCTTTATTTTTTTCTCGATTTCTAGCCGTTAGAAAAATGCAGCAAGTGTATATATAACTGTCTGATGGGGAAAATATATGCGTGAGCAAGTGGGAACCTTGCAGAATGTTTTTGAACTAAGATACGATTTTTTTGTTTTTTTTTTCGGAATTTTGGATTTTTTCCATTTTGTCTTGAAACTCGATGCGGATCAAGCCTGGTACGAACTTTTGAAAGTCATATTGTAGAGCTTGCTTTACTCTTTCGAATGGTACTACGCTTCTCATCAGAAGTCTAAGAAGAGCAGACTTACGCTGGTGAAAAGTCTGATATGAAAAAACTTTTGAGATGACCTAATAATTGAATGAACTTGAAGTACACAAAGGCAGACGGCAAAGAGACGCAATTCTTCCGCTTCTCTTCAACTCAAAGCTCTAATGCAGTGCTACGCTATATGAGTCTTCAAATACTACCAATCAGGGGTTCAAATACCTAAGGCCCGTATGCACTAACATTTTTGCGGCGAGGGGAGCGGCGTCCCCAATGATGAAGGGGCCGCGTGCGGACGCCGCTGCGGCTTTTTCATCATTGGGGACGCCGCTCCCCTCGCCGCAGGGATGTTAGTGCATGCGGCCCTAAGTATTTGTTAGGGAGGGGTGCAAGAAGAACGATAGTGATTGCAAGCCACTACCGCCAACGCATGCAATGCACTATTTTCCACACAAAATGCGCATATATTCAATAAAAGTGAGTAAAAATAGATCAAATGCTATACTGAATAAGTTTTGCTCTGAACCATACGATATTCTCAATTTGATAATTCTAACGCAAGGAATAAAGCTGAAATACTCACATGAGGTTTCACCTTAGGAACAAAATTAAATAGTTTCATCTTCATTTTTCACCGATTTCAACGTGTTTTCGCAACTCATTTTCAGCCTAATAACCAGTTCAACTCTTCCTAATTGAAGGCTTACGAGGAAATGCTCTGCATCTCCGCGTATGGATGTTCGGAAAAGAGGGCAAGAAATGCGCTGTTTTGAAATCTGCCAACTATCGTTCCTTGTTCGCCACCCTACTGTTAGTATAAATGAAATTGACTTCCTATTCAGGCCCGACCGATCAGAGCTTCTAAATGCCTACTACATCTGACGTCATATTTATATCAAGAACACACAGAATATGGGACAATTCAACTTAAAGTTTGCAACACACAGAGAACCAGATCGAAATATCTTCAATCCTCTTTTGGCGGTATCTGAAGACCAATATGGCAATAACCAATGCCCGGAGCAGCACTTTACGACTTATAGCCACTGATCTTTAGTATAAAGATCAAAGTGGGTTCCAAAATTTAATGACTTTGGTGCTGATGCTCTTTAAATTTATTTATTTGGTGGACAAAACGTATTGAGGCATCAAACTGTAGAAGACATGTTCATCTGCAGATGGCCAAAGAATATGGAATAGATAGACCAGGTAGTGGCAAATTTTAAAATGAAAGAAGTTATCAAAATGGGTTCAAACTTGGTATTTCTGTGCAAACGCGACGGGTCATCATCTCAGTGACTAACTTCCCAACCTCCTCAAATGGTATAGTAAGAGAGACTCCATACATTTGGATTCTAGAAATGAAAATAAAAGCAGAATTCTTGTAGAGTTTTCGTGGCATTCAAATGCAGTAAAAGTGCAAAGAACACAATACGACAAAATTGTGTTCTTACTGTTCTTGCACTCCAGGCTTAGCATTTGGCGCGTGGCTCAAAATTCAACTCCTTGGATATTGGTGTTTCCATTCTTTTGTCGTCTGCATAAAATCTTGTCTGTTCGGTGGAACAAACAAATAATACTAGTTGCTGGTTTAGGGTATGCGCCGGTGGAGTTTGGCGGGGCGCGAGATAGAAGCATGTATCTCTACTGCTTTCTGTAAAAGATACGCTTCATCATCTCCCAAAATCCAGCGGCCTCCGTATTACCGTAGAATTCACAAATTTGACCGACAACCGAAGAACATCCTGACGGAAGAATTTCCAGTGAGTCTCTTATCTATTTAGTCCTTCGCTTATATCAGTTTCGATTATTTTTTGTGTTAGAATGAAGGAGATGCTTCCGGAGCTGGTGTACGATTGTATGATTACTATAAAACTGCTGAGCTAGTCAATCAACTTCCAACGACAAAGGAGAAGATTGATTTTGTTAGTCCATACGAACGCCCTTGGGCTAGACCAGAGAAAACCTGGCATCGGTAAGCTTCCGTTCTCAGTTTCTATCAGTGAATTTCTGTTTGCCTAAATCTTTTACGAATGGTTTATTTCCAGACCCTGGCATCCCTCGCTGATGTCTACTAGGAAGGCCTGGGCGCTACCTCTTGTTCCTGCATACTTTGATGTTTTGAAGTATTACCAATACCTCACCAAAACCCGCTTAGTAGAAGCTTCTCTTGACAATTACTATAGTGGACTTGTCCCACCTACTGCTAGTTACGAGGTCAGTCGCAGATTCTTAAGCACCTTCATATTTTTCTTATGCTTCTTTTTGAAGTTTTTGAAAATTTTTTCCTTTTTGTTAACCATTATCTGACTTACTACGATAAGTTCTCAATGACAAGAGTGAGCGTTACACCTCCTGGTTTCTAATTTGTGTGCATCACTGCGGCAGCTATAGGCCGTCCGCGCAGGGCGCGGAGAGTGCGCAAGGTGTGGATTGCGTGTCACTCCTCTTTCCCCCTGCACTCTCGCCGCCTGTTTTTCTCTGCGCTCAACTATCTTCACTGGACGCAACAGCGTTGCTCTCCGCGCGCAGCGCGGATGGCCTATAACTGCCCTCCCCCCCCCCCAAAGAATTGTCAGAGTAGGGGCAAATTGCTCATTGCACATCTGAGGGGTTTACCTGAGTTTCTATGTGTCATTCGGCCTTCTTTCGAGCTCCAGAAGTCGTGTTCATATTCAAAATCCACATCTTTACCATAACGCTAGCCCAACGCGTCCTTCATTAGCTGCGAGATTTTGCACTGCAAGACTTGATGCCTTTTGTGACTTTGAAAAGTTATGAGCTGTTGAAAATGTGAAGTCATTGGGGTTTCAATGCATAATATGATTCAAAATCCAACTTGGAAGTGTATGACTAGCATGATATTGAGTGTACTGATTTCAAGAAATGTTCACATTTAAAAGAAACACAAATAATTGTTTTTGAACAATTAAAAAGCAACTAAAGTTATTTGGTGAAAACTATGAGCAATGAAAAGTCCAAATTGGGCAAATATACAGCGCCATACCTCGAGAATTAGTTGTTCAAAAACACTTACTTGTGTTTTTTTTTGAATGTGAGCATTCGTCGAAATCAGTACACTCAATATCATGCTTGTTATACACTCCCAAGTTGGATTTTAAAGCACATTATGCGTCAAAACCCCAATCTCTTCACATATTTAACCGCTCATAACTTTTCCAAAATACGGCATCGCAGATACGGAAGGTAGATTTGGAATCAGCTCATCAAGACGCATCTAATGATATGCGGATCATTCCAATTCGCCACCTTAATTTGGTTCCCTTGTAAGTAGCTTTGGCCTAATACACAATCTGGTCTGTACTGCATCCTATATATCAGTAAAGTTGTTTTTGTGTCTTTTGCATTCGTGTCATATACGTGGCGGGGAAGAGAAACATGAATTCACTGCGCTAAAATTTGTACATTGCTTTGGATTACTTGCATTTCGTCATGTGACAAGCACTAACCGATATCACAAAGCCTTTCTTTGAATTTAGTTTTTTTTTTATAATTTTGCAGCGTACCGCCTTGATTGCATAATCGTCTTTTCACTATCACCAATAGCAAGTCTTGTTCAAACTTTTCAGAAAACCGTTCAAGAAAACTTGCGCTCAATTTTGGAATCTACCAGATACGACTCAGAAGACGAGAGGGTATCTGCTATCCTAGCTGCCCTTATAGATGAAGCCATTTTCAGTGTTGCTCATAATGTTCCTCGATTAGGAGATTACAGAGTATGTTACTCATCCCAGTTATCCTGTAAGTAAGCAATATCCTTTTGTTTGGCTCAGGTTGCGTATGATGTGCAAAGCGAATGCTTTTGGGTTCGATCAGGTTTCATGTTTCTCTACGACGTGAAAGAAATAGGGAGCAACGAAATCACACGGAAAATACGCAAGAATTCAAAGTTTATCGGCGATGACAGGTAATCGAGTTGCTTTTGTTCTTTTCGTAAACTTACTGATGAAGGCGTAAACTCGGCGAGCTGGCATTCGTGTCCCGCGATCAGCTGGCAGTTCAGTTGAGATCGCGTGAACCGTTGGCGTCCTTGCATTCACTAGAGAGTGAGGAGGCTTGTCAACCAGTCTTTCCATCCGAAGTTGACATAAACGATGTGCTGTACTCCCCGAAGGTTTGTAGCAGAATTACATGCATTTTTGATTTTTTTTATTCATAGATTTTGCATTTGCTATTTCCAGTGGGTTCACAATACATTTGGTTGCATAAGTAATAATTTGCATTTCTCTTTTGAGATTTTTTTGCCGATTAGTAGGAATGCTCTCTTCGCAGGAAGAGGCGGAATAGTTTAGTTTGAATTGTTAGACGGTGAAAAGATTGCGTTCTCCTTTGTTGTCTTTCTCTCTACAGTCGGTTTTGCTCTGTCGCCAGAAAAAGGTCTATTTCAACTAAAAACGGAAAGGCTAGCAATAGAATATCACTCATTAACGGTTGTCTGCGTTTCGCTTGCGCGCAAAATCCGGTGACGAACTCGGTGCAGGCGTGTGATGTGTACTGAGTTCAAACTATGGCATCTTCTCTCGTTATACTGTGGCGATCACATTTTTGGCTTTTTCCAGGTAATGAACCTTTGGCCGGACGAAGATCCATTGTGGCAATGTCCAGGATACTTCGCTGAGTCAGGTGAGCATTGCTGCTGCATATTCTTTGCTACTTTTATGTATTGTATTGTATGTATTGTACTGTATTTGCCTAGCATGTACAAGAAGCTTCACACGTTGTCTCTTAAATATTGCTTGCAGAGGAAACGCATAGCTACGGTCGGATAGGGGCCAAATCGCTTTCACTTCTGGACGATCGGTGCGAGTATTGGGCCCCTATAGGTGAAGTGCCGGCAGAAGAAAAGACGGAATTATGGCAAGAGTGTGCGAAAGCTCAGGCTGTTGCGTCCCTCTTCACGACGCTATGTGCACAAGCTCATACTCACGGTAGGGTTTATTTTGTTTCAAGATGGGGTTTACTTTCCTAAACATGCTTTCCTTGCAGGTTTTACGCAATATACGGATGTGACTCGACCATTCACGTCACAGATGATGCTTTCAAACGGTGTTGATTTCGTATTTGCCGTTGGACAACTCAATACATTGGCTATGAATATTGAATGTGATGGTAGGTCTTTTTGAGCTTTTTTTCATGCTTCCTAGTGCTCTGCGGTATCCATTGTTTCAATTTTCTATATATCTGCATTTTTGGAAATAAATAGAAATTGGATTTTTTTCGCGATTTTATTTATAAGTTTTGTTGATTTGACTTCGCCTGAAAATACTTGGTTCTAGTCAGAACAAACGAAATGATAGTAACCTACCTTGGAGTTGCTTCTATGCGGTGCTGCTCTTTGATAGTATAATCATAATAGATCATCATTGATAGAATAAGTTCTTATTTTGCGAAAACGATGTGTGTACGAATCCCGTAGTTCTCAATTCTAAAGTCTTTTCTACAATAGCATTACTTGATGCTTCTTCAAGTAGACCAATAACTTCCAAATACAATATGCGCTTCTGCTCTCAGAGCTACTTTGTTATCTTCATGAGCTTTCGAGCATTGAAAAATGGCTAAATATTTTGTTTGACTTGGCATTTAACATAGTTTTCATGCGAGTTCAGTATTGAACACACTCATGCTCTAACCTTTTTTTTTAACTAAAAATACCTTCAAATGGGTTGAATGACGTATTGACTATGTCTATTGAACTGTAGTCGTTTGAAGTGATTGTCTAGGGGACCCATCATACTTCGCCGAGAAAAGCCCAAAAGCGCCGAAATAATCCCAAAAGCGCTCAGAAAAGCCCAAAAGCGCCAAAAGGAGCCTGGAACGCCCCTCCCGCGCTCACGTTTTGGCGCTAAGGCATGTGTGTTGATTTCGCAACCGAGTTTTTTGGTTAATTTTCTGTCTTCTGCACATCAAAATAATGTCGGAATTCGTTTCGGCGTTCCGGCTCTCTCTGGTGCTTTCGGGCCTTTTCGGGCTTATTTGGGATTTTTGGAGCACTTTTGGGCTTTTTTGGGCGCTCTTGGGCTTTTATCGGCGAAGTGACGGGTCCCTAGCACGCATTCGATTAGTGCTAGTCAGTAGTCGGAGTGCTTGCAACGTGGCATTTTTTCTTGCTCTCCATATTGAATACAGTCGGTAGTGTGGCGGCGCATTTATAATGTACATTTTTGGTGGTAGTCGCTTGCATGATGAACCGAGCTTATCTGAACTGAGCATAGGCGGTCTGATCTTCCTTCAACTGCGTTGTACGACCACAGTTCCTTGGGGGAGCTTTTTAATGCATTTGCCTTGTTGGAGCGCTCTGAAACGTCGTTGTTTCAGGCTTTGAAAATCCCAGAACCAATATATGCCATGTTGAGTCTCCTATAAGATTATACGATGGCTATAGCGAAGGAAAGTTCTATCATATATCTCCAGAAGGCGAAAAAGAAGGTCTCAATTCTAAGGTTCTTCTCAGGATTCTGCAGATGTTATTACGGGATTGATCTCACATTTTGCCTGCTTGTGTAGTATCTATAGGGACATAATAGGCCATTTTTTCTATGTCTACAGAATTGCTCCATATTGTTATGTAGTTGTTAGTTGTTTGCAATCCTTTTTTCCATAAATAAACATTTATTATTTTTTGATTATATCATCCATCCTTCGTAAAGGTGCATATTTTTTCTACTCTTAAGCTCCAAAAACAGATACAGTTTCCAGGTTTTCATAGCTGTAAGCATGTAATCACTCCTTGTGATGGTTATTACTGTAATGCGTTCCGTTGGTGACACTGTAATTCGTTATTGGCCATTATTTCTTGTTCTGTGGGTTGCATTTTTCAATGAATATCTCATCTTCTACACGAAAATAGGGCTTTCTTGCAGTTGGCCATGCAAAGGGCGAGTTCGATTTTGTATTGTTTTTGTTGAGGGTGTCAACTAGAGCTGATAACAACATTAAGATTTTTCAGGTGCAAGCCCAGTGACTTGCGTATATTTCTCATCTCGGATACCCACCTATTAGGTGACCGTCGTGGTCATTGGCTCGACAAACTGCAAAGGTTTGTACTTGATAGTTTTCTTTGCAAAAGTTAGTCGATGACTTATTTCAATATCTCTATTGTTTCGATAACTGTGATTCGTGAACATGACATCTCTATGTCACTCTGTTATGATCTAGGTCCTCTGTTATATAATGAGAGCATTTTGAGGTCTTCTGAAGTCTGCCATCCATCCTTCTAAGACAAATGAATTTTTTTTTGATAGGGCTGGAACATGCTTTGCTTGCTAACTCGGTTGTAGCTCACAACAGCAGATTTCTCGTGTTCTTCTTTTGTGATAAAATCTCGCTTTTCAGGGAATGGCAGATGTACAGATCGTATCATTCAGCTGTTCAACTTCTGTCACCCAAAGCTGTTTTCTTCCTAGGTATGCCACTTTGAACAACCAATGGTGATACATTACTTGCATTGCAGGTGATCTGACGGATGAAGGTCAATGGGGAGATCACTACACATTCCACAAATACGCAGACAGATTTGATTCGTTGTTCGGGTTTTCTGGGAAGAGACCGGAGGTTCACGTTCTAGCTGGAAATCACGATCTAGGATTCCATTATGCGTCAGTAATATGGCTCAGTGGTGTTCCTGTAGTACTTTTTGCTTTATCTTTCAAGGATATCGCCATTTCGAGTTGACTGGTTTAAGAAGCGTTTCAACAGCAGCTCTGTAGAAGTGGTCGTCATCGGTGGTAAGCGATTTAGTGGAGTGTGGAATATGATTTCTAATAGGTCGAGTTAATTTTAGAACAACCCTTCATACTTCTTACATCGATGGCCATGCACCGTGATGGTTGCAGATTCTGTCACGATGCAGAGACTGCCATTCAAGCCCTTGCGGATGAACTGACCTGTGCCAAGAGCGGCAACTGTGGCAATAAAACTTCTCGATTTCTGCCATACCGAAGGCCAATACTATTGCAGCACTTTCCACTGTTTAGGTACAGTCTCTAACATTCAAATACCAAGTTTTTCAAAATTAGTTGACATCAATCAGGATTGCACAATAGTGTCCTTGTCATCTATTCTTTTATCACAAATTTTTGCTCTGTCTCTGAATTTTTGGCAGGGGATTGGTGGGCCTTTAGCTTGGCTGTAGTTTGGTTTTCATGGATGTAGAGTGTTTATAGTAATCGTGTCCCGTGTAAAATTTTTCACCGAGATATCCTAGAGTTAACGATGATGAGTGTTTGCGTGACGACGACTTTGACCGTACCGATCCTCACCATCGTATTCGTTATCGACCCACATGGGATTCACTTTCTGATGAAGCCACACAATTTCTGCTAACTAAGTTAAAGCCTCGAGCGGTTTTCAATGGTCATACTCACAGCGGGTGCAAAAAGAGGTAACGTTTTTCCCGACGTTAGATTCTTAGAAGTGTGTTCGATCTGCCAATGAAGACTCAAAGGCGAGGTCCGCGCGAGAAGTCGATTTTGCGATTATGTGCCTAACCTGTGCTTATTCGCAATGCTGAGTCCGAAAATGCACACTGGAGAGATTGAAAACAACGAAAAAGGGCTCTAATGCACGAGGTACACCAGCAGGTGGGCGGATTCTTCCACTCTGTGAGGTCACTCTCCCAGCTTTATGAGCGATAATTTTTATCCTATAGTTCCCCTAAATAGCCCTAGCTTCAAATCACGCATTTGCGAAGCGCAAATGCGTGATTTGAAGCTGGGGCCGAGAAGATCGCTCCCAAAGCTGGGGAATGACTTTACAGAGTAGAAACCCGCCCATCCGCTAATTTTTCTCCTGTGTTAGAGCCCTTTTTCGGCGTTTTCGCGCTCTCCATTGTGGATTTTCGGGTTACATGGCGAATAGGCCCAGGTAAGCATGAATTCTCAAGATCGAGCTCTTGCCTGGACACACACTGCCTTTGAACAGATCCATGATTTGACGTTTAGATGGACAAAGCCGGTAGAGTTTTGGGAGTATACTGTCAATTCTTTTTCATGGCGCAATGGAGATGGACCCACTTTCCTTCTGGCTACGATTTCCGAGAATGACGTATGTGTTCCAATAATTTTCACCTCTTACCTCGGGTGATTTTTTAGGTTCATGTTAACGTCTGTCATTTGCCGCACGAATCGACGATAATTCAGTTATTTTATATCACTGGCTTCATAGTGATCATATGGCTGCTGCGAAAGTCTGCACCTCTCATAAGGTCACTCTGCAGCAGAGCAAGAAACTTTCCGACTCGCCGATCGCCCTCTGCGGATAAACTTATAAAAACCGGGTAACCTCGTCGCATAAGAATTGTATTATAGATTAAGTCGTGTTTGTAATATTTCCGCGATTTGGGAGATAATGTACAGTCATACCACTTCTTTTTGTCTTCGTACTTTAGCTTGATATTATACATACAAGTATAAAAATATGAGAATTGATTAGAGTCATATACTGCCTCAACTTTCATTTCCATTCCTGCTTACAAGTTTTGATGAAAGATCGGAAAGCCTTTGTTGTCGTCTTTGAGCGAGTTACTCATACCTTGGGGCATATTCGTCAATCGAAAGTACTGGCACATGGAAGTCCAATTTTGGACTTCAGACCGCCCACGTTGATAAGTGGAATTAGTATATACCATCCCTTCTATAGGCTGCTGCATGAGAAAGATGTAACTTTGAGCGCGACTCTATGGATGAAGCCAACTCAGTGAACAACCCAACACAAACCGATATTCGTAAAAAATGCTGTCTACCCACATAGAAAGTGAGTCTGACACCGCACAATAACTGAGTTCCTAACCAGGTTAGCTTGTGCTCCACAGCGGAAAGTGGAATCAGAATTGAGAGCAATCGCTCTAAAAAATGGAAATGGCGGTGGTTGTTCTACTAGGGTGGTCTGAAGAGAGGCCCAGATCTGGCTTTCAGTGTATCCGGAATTGTCGTCTAATAAACATAGTGAAGAGCTAATCGAAAGTACTGGCACATGGAAGTCCATTTGGACTTGCTATCTTCAGACCGCCCACTTTGATAAGTGGAATTAGTATATACCGTCCCTTCTATAGGCTGCTGCATGAGAAAGATGTAACTTTGAGCGCGAACGCGGCTTTATTAGAAGTAGAGCGCATGAGGTGCAGGATTTACAGTGGTGAAGATACGAGGGGGCGTATTCGCGCCCACCATTTGATAGTGCCTGTGCGCGTTCGTCATGCCTTTACTTTCTGGAGCATTTTCTCACTTCTGGATCTGTTTCTTGCAATTAGTACTTGAGCAATCACTTTGGGGCGACTAAGTATGAACGCAAAACTGGGGTGCTGACCAAGTGTTCCCTGAAAGTATTCAGTATCATTCTGCACATTTTTTAACCAGCAACCTTCATCGTTTCTTCAAGCTTGCCTAAATCAGAGTTGAAGAGAGCGTAATTGTAGGGAGCAACGATGGAGTCGCAAATTCTGTTCACGAGCATTGTCAAAACGCGAAGAATTGCGGCAACTACGGAAGAACATCCAGAAATTACTCGAAAGTCTGAAATGAGGAAGCTGGTGCCGCGCTCTTCGACAGAGTGGCTTGATCTGGTTCAAATTCAAATTTGACCAACGAGTGTCTAGTAGGGTGAGAATTATTTTAACTAGCGTAAATCATTCAGATCAAAGCAAAGTGCGCTTGACATGGCCCGCATGAAGGTTTCTGAGCATTGTTGTCCTGCTTCATTATTCTGATTTGACGAGTGATGGGCATATGGTGAAAGAGAGCTACCATCAGCCGCTGATGCAGGGCTTATACAGTGCTGGTCAAAACTATAGATCCACTTTGAAAACTGCCGTAACTCATCTGCTTCTCAACGAATTGATCTGAAATTTGGTACAGAAGTGTGTCTAAAAGGCTACTATCAGTGACTAGAACGGATCCCGCTTTCGTTCAATTATTAAGGAAAAATCAAAGATTTTGAGAAAAAGGAGGCTTGAAGGTTGGCCAAAACTATAGATCCACCTAGAGTTTCTGTCCACTAAAGTAGCTCTCGGCTCCCAAAGTCTTTTGTGCATATACATAGTCAAAAGTCAAAATAATCGCTTTAGTCCAGCTGTGCGATACCTTTATAAGAAACGCTTATCTGCTTTTTTTGCTTAAAAGTACTCTCACGCACATTTTATTCTCGAGAACGTATTTTTGTAGGTGATTCCGCAGTTTTCCCAACTGGTTTGGAAGCGATAGAGCTTCACCTATCTCAATGCCTAGCGAAGTGAGCACTAGAAAAAAACTCAAGTTTTCGTATTTAAAGCGCACCCGACATAGACCTAAACGCAGTTCTGCGCTCAAATTTATGCCTTCAAACTTTTCCTGGTTCTCATGAGCGTAAAACGAAGTAATGACATTGTTTGTACATATGAGGGTCCGTATGCAGTGGTTGCAGATTTTTGCATGTCCTAGCATTAAGGTTAGTCGAGGAATTTATCCTGCAAAAACTGATTAGCAATAAGCCTTGAAGTTATTTTTGGTTCTGATCATAATGCTCTTGTGAGTCAGAGGCAAACATATTAGGTTGGCCCGAAAGTTCTGTCGCACCATTTTCAAAAATTCATAACTTCTGATTTTTCCAACCGATTTGACTGCTTTTATTTTGGCACGAAAGAGTAAACCATGCTCTTTATAAAGACATCTCAGCTGTTTGCTAACAATCACCTGCTGCAGAGATAGAAGCGATAGAAGAAAATTAGTCAAAATTCGAATTTTCTGTGTAGGGTCATAAAAAATCGGAGACTTGCAACAAAAATCGGAGCAGTCATTATTGTAAGTTCTTCCACCAGCTCTTTCCAACAGTGCAAAGTTTGCGCCGATTGAGCGTCTCTATGAAAACTTATGATTTTCGAGCAAGCAATACAAAAGGGCGAAATTGATTTAATTTGGCATTTTTCAGGGAATTCAGGGTATGACGCAGCTGAACTGAATCGGCTGTCTTGACTTTTGATCATGTATATGCACCAAAGATTGTGGAAGCCGAGAATCACTTTGGTGGACAGAAACTTTAGATGGATCTATAGTTTTGGCCAGCTTTCGAGCCTGCTTTTTCAAAAAATTTTGATTTTTTCCTGAACCATCAAACGAAAACGGGAATCGGTTCTGCTTACTGATAGTAGCCTGTTGAACACGCCGCTATACCAAATTTCAGATGGATTCGTTGAGAAGCAGATGAGTTACGGCAGTTTTCAGAGGTGGATCTATAGTTTTGGCCAGCACTGTAGAAACTTTTGTTGGCAATAGTTGAGCATAAATTCTAAAACAGAAACCGACTCTTATGATCATGATGGAAACTCTGGCGGATATACAGGTGTCCAAAAAATATGCCTACTGTTTAACTGCTAATAACTCTTTTGTCATGGAATCTTTCGAGAAGGTTTAGGTGCCATTTTGTAGATCTGGCCTCAACATAGTTTTAAAGTGAAGGAGTTACCGTTTCTCTTCATCACTGTAAACGGTTGGAATTCGCAGCATATGACTATGAGATTGGCTAGAAAAAAAAAATCCGGAAAAATCTGTAAAAGTGTGTAAAAGTTTTCACACATGCTGATTTCACTACTTAAATTTTTGCGCGTTTGTAGAACTTTTTGAATGGCGCAATCAAATTTTTGATGAGTATCAGGAGTCGGTTGTGTTCAACCGTATATATGTCATAACAAAGCGCAGCGGTGAAGTGCGAGTTTCATATGAAATCAGCGACTCCGTCTAACCTTGCGTAGGAGATTTTTAGCTTTTCTAGTCTTTTTAGGGGTGAAATATGACCCTCACTGACGCAAAACCCCTCCAGTTTCCTATCGTAATCCTACAATAATGAAGAAAGGACGGTAATCCACTTCGACTTGGATTTTTCTATACTATAAGTCTAAGTGGAAGCCAGCTCTACAAAATGGCACTTAAAGCTTTTCAAAAGTCATTCTTAGAAGAGAGTCATTAACAAAGAGCTGTTATCATCAGTTCCACTGTAACCAACCAAGTAAAAAACATTCGTAATTTTCCCAGTCATGTAATATCTCCCAAGCTGATCCCCGGTCTGGAACAGTAATCATGAGCGTGGAGAACTACATTTGATCGAAAGGCAACAGAAGATCGTCCCGCTGATGAGATCTCGTGTTTGTTGGTGACAGCCAGTAGGAGTATGAGAAAACGCTCAGTTTTATCCACTTCAAAATTCCTTCTGAAGTATAACAAGTTGGCACCATAAATATAATATTTTTCTTTTTCATTCTACTTTTCAATTACCGAGTTCTTTGAAGTAAAGTCATCTTGTGCTTCCCATACAATCTCTGCCTCAGAATAATTTTGAGTTTTTTATACTAAGAAGCTAAAAACTGATAAAACGCAAGATCACTGTTATAGTTCTACAAAACCACTTATATTTCTATATCTGAAGGAATAAGCTTGTGGAAGTTTATTCGGGAAATTGCTCTCAGTGCCCGCCGAATATACTCCGGATATTGCGACGATCACTAGTTTCAGATTTTTAACATTGGTTTTGCAGCTTACAGTCTACAGTCTGTCCCAATCGGAATTGTCAGCGCCACAGGCTAGAGTTTGCACAATCATGGTGGGTGATGCGGACGCGCGTTTTGTCAGTTTGATTGGGACGGAATGTATCATAACTCCAATGTCTTTGTTCATCTCGAAAATTTGCTTTCGAGGGCATCGCGTGGCGTTTGCGAGCGTTTAGCTGAAGTAGTCAACTCCGCCTCATTGGGAGTTTGCGGCTGGACATCTGCAGCGCGACTGGCTCTGCAGATGTTGAGCCGCAGGAAAAAGGGACATTGCAGTTGAGATAGATATACTGTACAGTCTGTCTCAATCCCGACCAGGTCAAATTTGGCATGGCGGGAGTCCGCGTCGCTATAGTTCCGCGTCACCCCTCGGCCTGCTTTCCTGCTCTTTCCTCGATCTCTTCGCTCTCTCCGCCTGTGCGCATATGCAGCGCAGAGTACCGGCGCTACGTGCGCGCAAACTCAACTAACGTTTCGGCCTGATCCTGGTAGACTGACTGTACAGTGAATTTCAACCTAATCCAGACGGAGATTGGCGGGCATCCAGCGCGCATCTGTTCGCGCCGTTTGTGGCTACAGTATATCATGTCGTCCTGGGAACCCATATCTGCGTTTTCTCAATTTACTCAATCAGGGTAAAGCGGGGGGTGCGGCACTCGACCGTCGGATACGACCCCCCCCCCTGATTGCTGTCTTAATAAGACCCCCCTCCTAAACTATACACTTAAGATAGTATTACCTGAAGGCTCTGTCAAACATAATGGACAACATATCCATAATTAGCATGTCAAATACCCCCTGTAGACA